AATGTACTGCCTGAAGTCTCTCTGTTTATTTTATGTGAATCGTAATAGGGCTAAGAATTAAATACATGGTGTAGTTCACGCTACTTTAGCTTTTACAGTCGGTTGAGTTGGGGCAGCAAGTCATGTTACTAGTACATCTTAAGGACATTTTGTCATATAATGATAAAGACTCTGAGCCCCATGGATCATGAATGAATGAATGAATGAATGAATGAATGAATGAAATATCTATTTCATACAAAAATAAAATTAAAAACAAAATAAAAGAAAACAAGGGAAAAATGTACAAGCATGAGTTTGAAAAGGAGCAGGAAGAAGTATAAACTTACTACCTCCCACCCCTTGTCACCCTATGATTCATTACAATATTACATGTTCCTATGTATAATAAATGGATTTAATATAACATATTCATCAATATATAATCAATTAACTGCACCGATATACATGATACAACTATACCATATACATAATCAATTTCCTTGCAATAAATATGTCATTTACTAATAGATTGTTAATGAATTGTATATTACCAATGCAAATATATTACAACAGTACACGACATAAATATATGTATAGGTCTACATAAACACATATACATATTAATAAGTAGTGGATTTAATATATAATATACAGTGTTATATTATGCCGCAATATTTAGTCTCACTCATTACGATATATCGATGTGCTATATGAACACATAATAAATAAATTCTCAATAAATATATTGAGGTAGCCCGACCTTTCCTTTTTCCTATGGCACTGAATGCACCATACAATATGACTTTGAATGAAGCATATAATTTGATTTTAATAATTGTTCCTCATCGGTTCATTTGTTTAAATATTATTGGAAAAGTCTATGGTAAGCACCGCAACATTACTCACGTTGTGTAATGGTGCTATATAAAATGAAATGAAATGATTCGAAGTCCGAAAGACTATTTTTGTCCTTTATGTGACCCGTACTTGTGCGCATGCGCAGATGATTGTTGGCTGTGTCTTCGTCAGTGTGACTTATAACAGTTGTAGCTTATTGTGGTACTGCGCAAGTACGCTTTTCTGTCGAAGAAACGTTAATACAGTGTGTAAAATAGCGTTTAAGTAACCACACATGGCTCTCAGAAGGTGTTGGAGGTTTTCCGGTGTTGTCCCTCGGCTTTTATGGAGTACTACCGTCCAGCCTGGGGCGTCCGTCCAGGGACTACGAAGCTCTGTGTCCGCCTTTGTCAACACTCACCCCGTTTGCATAAGTGAGTTTTACCTTTAGCGACTCACTGTCACTGTTCTAAGTGGTTCCTAGACTGTGTATCACATGTTTTCCCTTTTGTTTTGTTTTGCTTTCAGACACAGAGTTGCTATTCCGTAGGTTCAGTTCAGAGCCGCAGGTCACAGAAGTGAGTTACGAGCAGCTGAAGCAGCTTCTGGCCAGTCGGAAGGCTGTAGTTATAGATGTCCGGGAGCCCTGGGAGCTCAGAGAGTACGGCAACATCCCCGGCTCCATTAACGTCCCCTGTAAGTGATGCTCTGTCCACCTAAAGTTACAGAAAATTGTAGAGATGAGTTGAAAAGGACACAGACTACCTTGTCACACCAATACAGTGCGATGTTTGTTGCTGTCCTGAAGTAAAATGCACTCAAAAAACCTATATACTGTACATCAGATTTACCCCTAGAGCCCTATTGTTGCTGTTGGTCTGTTGCTTTTATTGTGGCAACTTATTTACTGGCAAAAATCCTTCACTTTCACATACAAAATGAAAAAGACATTGAACATGGCAGACACCTGCAGACAGCATGGTGAATGGTGTGGAGGAGGACATGGTTCCTAACTTTGTAACCCATCAATGTTTTGTGTTTATCCCATGACACATGTTCACCACTTGACCTTGTCTGACTTTACAGTGGGACAAGTGAACACTGCCCTCCAGCTGGGTCCGGAAGAGTTCAAAGAAAAGTACGGTGGTGAAATGCCCCAGCAGACAGATAACATTGTGTTCAGTTGTCTTGCGGGGATCAGGAGCAAGAACGCGCTCGACACGGCCGCCTCGCTGGGATACAAAGAGTGAGACATGTTTCTTTCATGTGCCTGCATATGTCAGTTCAAGTTATTAGTTCTCATCTCATTTTGAGGTTCACAGGTTATTAAATGATTGCAGGCATGTAAGCTTTGTTTCTTGAGCTGAGTTGTTTCCTGCTAAAGCTAACCCCTTTGTCATGTGAGAAGAGAATATAAAGAATAGCAAACCATAGTTATCTGAATATCGCACCTGATTTTTATAGTTCATCATGAGACCGCATTTAGTTTCAACAACTGGAAGTTATTGCCTAGTTGCATAATTGCAACACGTCATTCATTGCTCTTTGGAAAGACGCCACATACCACATTTTCAATATATAACTGAAATGCAGAGAAAGCTCAGGTTAGGACTATAAGATGTGATATTCTGTGTTGTTAGCAGTGAAGTCAAACAAAAATGTCGTAATTTTTGAAAGTGTTAAAACCTTATAATTATAATCTCATTGGTGTACTTTTGATTATGCTATAACTCATTCACTTTCTTTTGTTCATTTCAGTGCTCAGCATTACCCTGGTGGATGGCAAGACTGGATGAAACAGGAACAGCATAAATAAACCAGTGACAAAGGAATAGAAAACATTTATATATATATTTAAAGCTCTTTTTTTTAATTACCTCAGATCAGGCTGTAAAGTGAGAATGTGTTGCAAGCAGTCTCATAAAGGGTTTTTAAAAAGTCGCGGCACTTTGTTGCAGTTTCATGAGCTGTGATTTAAGTTTTCCTGATCTGTGATTCCCAAAGAGTGAAACCAGAGGGCTGAATGAACCCAAAACATCTGCTGCTGAAAATTTAAAACCTACTGCATTATTACTTGAAGTCAGCATAGAACTATTTATAAACCCTTTACAACTTCTTTAAAAGTTCAAATATAGCCAGCTGTAATGTACAAAAAGTCCTAACAACTGTGTGTCCAACCTATGCAAATGACTCCATAACTGTGTATGAAGGTGTGTCTTCCATTGCTCAATACAAATTGTTTTAACTGTGCAGGTTGATGTATTGTAAATATTAAATAGCTTCACAGTCAATTCAGTTGTTGCCAACATAATTTAATTAATACAATTATAGTTTTGATTAACAGTAATATCAAACGTGTGTGTGTGGTTTTTTTTTGTTGTTTTTTTTTAAACTTAGGGGCAGTGTGGGATATCACTAAAAATGACTTAGGTGGACATTCATTTAGGATGATTCGAGATATAAATAGGCATTGAGAGACTTGCTGAGGTGACAGCCACTGGGAGTAAGATGATCTACTGTATTGAAGAGCCATGTCAAATATTTACTGTGTCTCAGTATGAATTTGCCACCGACCCTCCAGGGAACATTATCAGGTTCCTTCATCATCCTTGATAATGAATGGGTTTGTTTTCAGCTGAGGAGAATATCTCGACTGCAGTATGTCGACCACGGCCATGGACCTTGTTCCCCATTTACCTTTTTCTTTTTACAGCTTGAGCTGAAAGTCCACAGAACAACAGAATCGACAAATAATAATCTCACAGTCTTGCTCAGTTTGGTCAAGATACATACCAGCTTGTTAACACTGAGTGGCCATCAGTAAAAGGAAACTGACCCCTAAGTGACTTCAGATGCATGAGTAAATGATCTGGAGGTGTTATTACTATTAATGCTCGTGTTATTCACGATTGTCAGAGTGGGCAAGGATAGGTGCACTTCATGGCCATATTTAATTATACAAGTATTTCTATGACTGTAAAACCACTCACTGTCATTAAGTCAGGTCTTTTCATATAAAGGAAACAAGTAGAAATAAAGCAGTCCCTGTTTAATGGCTATGAGATATACTTGACATAGTTGTGTCACCTTGGTACTTCATGACATTTCATAAGGGAACAGCTTATAAACACGAGTCCACTACAGAACATTTTAAATAAAATGGCTTTTCAAATGTATAGATTTGAGTCATTTCTGCATTTATTGTTATTGACAGTACTTTACATATATCTAATTGGATTTCTGTTGTTTGTTTTTGTTCATGACCTCTCAAGGTGCTTACTGACTGTAGACATAACCATATAACCATCCATTGCCTTATCTTGAGTAATATTAATGCTTTTGGTCGTATAGTCAGAATCTCCAAAAAGGTGGTTACAATTGCGGTACATTTCTATAACCTTTATCATATGACCTTTTCTTAACTAGTGGTGTTTATTTTATGTATTATTATGTGTTATTTTAGGTGCTATGTATTCATTATTTAATGAAATCAGGAGAAGGGCTGAAACGAGAGGCAGAAGATGTACTGATGATGACATTAACGAGAAATTAAATATGGGAGGTGGGAGGGTTAGGAGCTGAAATGAGGCCTCATAAATACTGAAATAGAAAATACCAAAATGATGAGCAGTGTTATTTGGTTGCAACATGAAACGAGGTGGTTAGTGGCGAGATTGATTATTCACATGACTGAAAGATTCCACCTCTTCCCAAAAGTCCCACGCTGCTGCAAGATGTGAGGTCAATGGGAAGGAATAGATGCTCTCTTAGTCCATCAAGACAGGTTTTCACATGGAACAATACATTAAAAATTTTGCATTTAACAAGTGCTAAAATCAAAAACAAACTGGGATTTAGATGGTTGATAATTAGTTTGGGTGCAGTGTTGTGGTTGATAGTGTTTTAGATACTTGAAACCTGAGAGTTAGGTTTTCTATGACGTTATGGTGGTTAATATTAACAGGACAGTGCAGCACTGGCTGATCCCTGTGTACTGACCACTGTGCTATGTCATCCGTAAACTGCAGACTACAACCCCCCTCCTTTTCCCCCCTGCCTTCTTATTTTGCCTCTGAAGCAGTTAATTCCATTTTCTTTTTTCTTCATACTCCAATTTTAATATGGTGAAAATGGACCAGACTAATAAGTACTAATTTATGTCAAATCTTGCCAGGGCTCTTTGTTCCTCTGCAGCCACAGCCTCATCAGGTCACCCTCTAGCTTCTGCTCAGCATTCAATTAAAGTCCCTCTTCCCATCAGAGCAGATCACATCAGAGCTGACTGACTGGACCCTGACTTCTTGCCTGTCTGCCTCATTGTCTGTTTACTGTCCAGTGCTGGACACTGAGGTGGTGGGTTTACTGTAACCCAGGCATAGCCCATTATGATTTTTATAAAAGGCAGCTTGATCCATGATCACAATCTGTGTTTTGAGGAGAGACTGACACTATCAGTCACTTTCCCAGTCCAACGCTGCTCCTCACAAGCTGCTGATAGATTTCTGAGCAGCAGGTCAAGCCTGCGTTGGTGCAGCGGTTCAAGATTCCACAGGTGTTACCTCATGAACTGGGCTGTCTTAGACAGAGCACAAGCATGACTGGCAATGGGGGTATAAAACCTGAGGCTCGGTGGACAATCGGGGAGTGCAAAACAGGAAGGTGGAGTAGTGGTAAAGTGCAGTAGACCACAGACAGCTTGAGTATTTCCCTTCAGAGAACCAGAGAGCTCACAGACACAGCTGCCATGAGTCGCAGCCCGGAGAGGATCTCATCCTACCGCCGTCACTTTGAGGACAGCAGCAGCTCGACCTACCAGGTCAGGGTGTCCAGCCCGTCCCCCACCAGGAGAGACGCCCGCCATGCCTCGTCCGGCTACTCATCCAGAGCCGGCAGCATGCGTGTCGAATCAGTGGGACGAAGGACCGTCTCAGCTGCACGAAAATCTACACGCATGGTCGGAGCAGGGTGAGCTCTGTCAGATACATATACATATACACATGGACACAAGTAAAGACAATACAGTTGAATAATTATTTACTTGGGAAAGGGTTTGTCTGCCTTATAAGAAGTTAAGTTCTTCTTCCTCAGGTTTAGTTTTGAGTCATTTCGGTGTAGTATTTATTACATGAAAGACTTAATTTTTTTTATGATAAGCATCTCCTCTTTGATGGAATCTGCAGTCTAACATGTATCCGTATGTGTTTTCAGTGTGAGTGCAGGAGCCATGGTGTGTGTTGGGCCTAGTGGAGAGCCTGCAATAGACCTGGATGTGGCTGCAGCTGAGAACCAGGACTTCCTTAACACTCGCACAAGCGAAAGACAGGAGATGATTGTCCTCAATGACAGACTGGCTGTATATATTGAAAAGGTGTTTTATTTCTTTCCATCAGCACAGTGAAATGTAAATGTCACACCAATATATATATTTATTTCTTTGTTTATAAAAAAACGAAGGCATATTATTTTAAACTTTAGGAGTAGATAGACAAGAAGCATAATGTGGTGTCGGTTTCAGACCAGGTTTTTGTGTACTTCCAGGTTCGATCACTTGAGCAGCAAAACAAGTTACTGGAAGCAGAGATTGAGGCCTACCAGAACCGGTTTGAGAAGCCAACAGGTCTGCGTCTACTGTATGAGGAACAGCTGAAGGAGCTGAAAAAGACTGCTGACCAGATGAGAGTTCAGCGGGTAAGACAGAATTCTTCTAGTTGTATCTTTCCAGTTTCTTTCTTTTACATATGGGATGCTCAACGGGACATGAAGTTTACACCTCACTGATCAGTAGAAGATCCATCCAAGCAATGAACCAACACGTCAACTTGGTGTTTTCAAGGTTCTTTACCTGGTAACAGGCTTATTTCTGGCAGGCAAATGGAAAGGTCCCTCAATGTGTTTAGGTGTCATGTAGTGCAGCTGTCGTCAGCTATGCTTTATGCACAGATGAGATGGCTTGATTATGCGTTTACACACACACACACACACACACACACACACACACACACTCACTCACACCCCCACACACACATACAGAGAAAGAGAGAGAGAGAGAGAGAGAGAAATGAAGTCAAAATGCAAAAGAGGCTGAGGCACCCACCTTCATATCTAACAGACAAGCATATTACTTATGGCTTCTTGGTTTTTAGGACATTTCCTTGGCGGCTAAGGAGTCAACAGCTGCTCAACTAGAGGCAATGAAAATCAAATACGAGGAGGCAGTGGAGCTGAGGAAGAAAGCCGAGTTAGACATCGAAACCTTCCGTCCAGTAGGTGCAACTTAATTAGCCAATATCGCTTTGATTGACCTCTTTTCCAAATTCAACGTCAGGCATAAACACAGACAATAACTGATTTTGTTTGTTCTTTAGGATGTCGACAAAGCCACCTCCTCTCGCATCGCCCTGGAGAAGAAGCTGGAGCAGCTGGAAATTGAAATTGAATTCTTAAAACGGATCCATCAGCAGGTAGAAAACATCTTTATGTAACAACTACATATTTAGTTCAACTTTCATGTCAATAATATCTAAAAAAAAAAGTTTTCCCTTTCTCTAGGAAATTGATGAGCTCATGAAACAAATCTACGCAGCTCACGCCTCAGCTGAGAGTGCGTTCGCGCTGCCTGATCTGGCTGCTGCACTGAAACAAATCCAAACTCAGTATGATGACATTGCAGCCAAAAATCTCCAGGTAAAGTAATACCACACATCAGGATTTGCCTAAAAAAGATAAAAAATGTATTGTCAGGTCCTCTGTGGTTATTAAATGTGTGTCAATGTTTATCTTCTTCATCCTTAGGAAATGGATTCATGGTATAAAAACAAGTTTGAAGATATAACCAAAAAGACCTCAAGACACGTTGATACAGTTCGAGGCATTAGAGAAGAGATAGCAGGTGCCAAAAAGGACGTGAGTATCAAAATAGAAAAAACAGTAAATAAAGATTGATCGAGAATATTGATTTAATATAATATTCATACTGAAAAAAACAACCTAGATCCAAAGCAAAGAACGAGACTTGGATTCAATCAGGAGCAGGAATGAAGCTCTCGAAGCCCAGATCAAAGAGATGCAAGAAAAGTACAGGAAGGAACTGGAAGACCTGCAGGTAAACACAGTTTCATGTTGTCTCCGGGTGCACACCTGATCACACCAGAGTCAACCATGAACACATACTCTCACTTTCATGCATGCAGTCACAAAGCCACTAGAATAGCATATTCATTTCTCTGTTAACACTAACAGGCTCGGATTGAAGCCCTGCAGCTTGAACTGAAATCCACCAAGGAGAAAATTGCACTGCACCTGCGTGAGTACCAGGACCTTCTGAATATCAAGATGGCTCTGGAGATTGAGATCACAACCTATAGGTAAAGCAAAAACAACCTGAATTTGACTTATTGCCTTGTATTTGAATCAATAAGAGTAAAATACAAATTTTGTTGTTTTTCTTTGCAGAAAATTGATTGAAGGAGAGGACCTGCGGCTCTTGGGCATGATGCAAACCCTGTCTCTCGCCAGCTGTAGCATGAACGCCATTGGTGCTGGGATGAGCGTCAGTGGAGGCGCCGTGGGCGGTGTGAGTGGTGTGGGACTGACAGGAGGTAGCAGTGGAGGTGTTGGAGGCATGGGGAGTGGAATAGGAATGGGTGGAGGCACAGTGGCAGGAGGTCTGGGTGGAAGAATGGGTGCTGAAGGTACCAATGGCAGAAAGGGTCTTGCTGGTAGGGCAGGTGGGGCAGACGCAACTGGTGGTCTTGGATTGGGAGCTGGGGGTTTAGGTGGCGGTGTCGAACCTAGTGCTGGGGGTGTGGGTACTGGAAGCATTGGGGGAGTGGGTACTGGTGCTGGAGGTTTGGGTGCTGGTGCTGGAGGCCTGGGTGCCGGTGCTAAAGGTTTGGGGGCTGGTGCGGGAGGCTTAGGTGCCGGTGC